CGAGCAACCTCCACGTGGTGTACATTGGGTAACGCAAATGCCGATGGTATTAAAAATCAAATATTTTTGCGAAAAATGATCGCAGCGCCCTTTATGCATAGTGTTTTGAATTCGTCTCGAAAAGACCTTTCAAACGAGCCTCCACTCGACCCCCCTTCCCAATTAAGAATTTATTCCCTCCTCGCGGCCCCGTAACCCCTTGGGGTTGGGGGGTTGCAACCCCCCGCAAAAGATAGATTTTTTGAAAAATCGTTTGACGTGTTTCGGCGATTTTCGAAATTTTTATTTTTTCAAAAGATATTAGACCGGTCCGCGACTTAATGAACACCCTGTGTATATATATATATTTTTTTTTTTTTTTTTAATATATAGAGAATAATAGAAAACATTAATATATTGTCGTAAACCATCCACTAATCTTCTTTAATTAATATCTCGATTATTGCGAATATCACAAAACAGTTTAGGATTTTTATGTTCTCTTCTACTCGTATTATATCTCCATAAGAGCTTCAAAGATTGCTCAGGAATATCTTGTATACTTTCTTCCGCAATTTTTGAGGGAACATAGAACGGATTAAAGTAAATACAAGTCCATACTGATGTGTGTACATTTTGCTTTTTCATATGTGAGATTTGAAGACAAAATGTAAAAGACTGCTAAATTTCTATTCAACTGTCTATAAGCATGTTATCTTTGTACAAAATATTTACACGTCAAGCTCACCATATTTTACTTTTTGCCAGCTTTCTCCAATATGAGTTAAACTAGATATAGATCGAATGCACATTCTTTTCAGATATAGTCTTTTAGAGTGCTATCTCAATCTATGTACATAAGTCTAATGATTGCATTTAGCAGAGAAATTTGCTTTGCAACTGTTACAAAATTCGTGAATCGAATAGACATTACGAGCCTCTTAAAGCTCTTTGTGCTTCACCAGCCATGTTGAATTTGTAACATCAGAAGTGAGGAATGACATATTGACGAGAGTTGCGTGCCATTTCTGAATATTGATAAATATGGACGAAAAAGCATTTGAGATTGCTTGAACACACGTATAAAATCATCCGAAAAGTATCCTTTTTCTTTGATGATTAATAGTCATATAATAAATGATGAAATGAGATAAGTGAAATATGATAAAATGAGTCTATTTTTTGTCTACATGCTTCATTTCACCATTTATTATACGACTATTTACTGATCGTCAAAGGAAAGAAATAGTTTATAAAAAATTTTATTAGTGTTCAAGCAACCTCTTAAACCTTCTTTCGTCTGTATTTATCTTTATTTAGAAATGTCATGCATGCCACTCCTCGCTTCTGACAAATCTAACATAGCCGCGACGATTTACAAAGAGTCTTAACGGTATTACCTGAATCATGATTCAGTTATAAATTCTTATTTTTGCTTTCTTTTTCCCTGTCTATATTGAGCAAAGATATTATTCCTGCTCTGTGACGCTGTCAACGGAATTGTATTGAATTGTCTTTTCGCTTGACTTACTGGATTCTGTTCATTCCACTATATTGCATTAATGACTTTTCATATATCTCGTTTTTATCTGAAGAGAATGCGATTAAGGACCGAAACGTATGAACTACAATACATTGTTGATTGTAAATATATAAAAAACACTATATCAACTGTCGTGCCTTAAAAACACTATTTATTATTACATTAATATTTAATTAATTTGGCCTTACATTATATCAAATATTGTATATCTAACAAAAGTTTTTATATAATAATTCTTACAAAATTATGGAATAATGATTAAGACAATATATTATAACGTCATGTAATCTTTGCAAATAACGCTCATACACACAAGAAATACGAGTACAATTACAAGAATTATTTGGTATAGGACTTTTATGTTCTCCTTAATCTGTACTATGTCTCCATGAGAGCTTTGAAGGTTGTTCTGGGACATTCTGTATACATACTCTATGCTTTCTTATATAAGAGGTTTGAAAACAAAATGTAAAAAACATCTATATTTCCCTTCAACACCTATGGCACAGACCATCTTTTTTAGATATAGCCTTTGCAACTTCTTGTGAAGCGCTCAGTCTATGCATACATATAAGTCTATGACTACATTCAACACAGAAAGTTTTGCAACTGTTGTAAAATTCAAGAATCTGATTGGTATATTTTCTTAGAATCAGCCAGGATTAAGAGCATTAATTAGATTCACAAAGGATTATGTTAAAAAGCGGCCAATTCTTGCTCTTAAGCCAGCAAAATTTACATAGTTGCACAGTCTGGAAGTGAAATTCATATAATTTCTTATAATTTTTTAGTCGTAAAATTACGTAGTAACATCCATTTACTGTCAAAAGAAATAGGTGAAAATAGGTGAAAATCTTAAAGGTAGATCATTTATGACACCCCATTTTTTTACAGCTTTTTGGTTATAGAATCATTAGTTTTAGTTAGAAATATTAGTTTGAGTATTCTATCATGCAATTAACATACACTTAAGATATACGTACACACACACACACACACACACACACACACACACACACACACACACACACACACACACACACACACACACACACACACACACACACA